TATATATATAACATAACTATATATATATATATATATATGCTAATTATTATTATAAACTATGCATACATTAGATATAATCTAATGTATGCATAGTTTATAATAAAAAATTTATAATATATAATAATAATAATTTATTGTTGGTAACAGACCATAATTTTTACAATATTCTATAAATTCTTTTCTAGTATTCTATAAATTCTAGAATTTATAGAATATTGTAAAAATAATAATTTATTATGTATACTAGTTGAATATATAGATATAATAATTATATATATTCATATTAGACTAAGTCTGTCAGAAATGAAATTATTGATGAAAATCATAGCATGTTTTGGATTTATTAGCTTCATGTTTAATTTTTCTAACGGTAGACTGTAATTTATTGTCAAGTTTCTTAAGTTCAAAACCAAAATTTTTATTTATTATAAGCATGATAGAATAAAAATGTTTTTTTTGGTATTCCTATACCACCATCTTCGATATTAGAATATATTTTATTGCGCCTATTATATATATGTTTCTTATATTATATAAGAAACACAACCAAATTGTTTCATCATTTATCATGTTATATGTCATGTATATGTTTCATTGCTACTTGTTAAATTTTTGGTAAAGAAGATTTTTACTCAGATTTTAGTTTGAAACAATTTTTCTTTTCTTTCTTACACAAAACTTTAGTTGCTTTTCACCAGATTAAACATTCAATCTATTATCTCTAAAATATTTATTAATTATTAAAATGAAAAATGCAAAACTGGTATATGATGTATTCGTTAAGGTATAATTTGTTGGCTGGTTAGTAAGAAAGTATTTGTTTATTGTTCAGTTAAATTTCAAGTCCTGAGAATTTATTGCTAACAACAATACAGATACTGACTATGACCATGTTGTTGCTGAGGGAGTGCTTAGTAATAATACTCATTCATTATCAAAAATCTTATGTTACATAGCAATTTATGTGTGTAATCAATTTATAATTTTATATCAACTGAAAGTGTGATGTTATTTTATAACTTTTCATGTTTATTTGAATTCAAATATTTCTTTCATCTTTTTTCCATGAAAATTATCAACTTTTTTTTTCAAAGAACAACGTTTAAAAATTTGTCATTAGCAGCTTATTAAAGAAATGACTGATATGTTTAACCTTTGAACAGTTATTTTATTTACTGATATCAGGTGTCTAAAGTTCAAGCACAAAAATGTCAGACTTTGAAAAAGTTAAATCTAAACTGGCCACTTACAAGCAAGAACATCTTTTGAGATTTTGGGATCATTTGGATTCGGATCAAAAAGAAAAATTATTGAAACAAATCAACGCTCTTAATTTAGCTTACATAAATGGATGCATACAAGAATGTCTTGAAAGTCTTCAGCGTGAAACTCGTTGCAATGATGATGACATGCAACCTGTCCCTGACTCTGTGCTGGGCAGAGTCTCTCAAATTGAACCTGACATTTTGAAAGAGTATAGAAAAGAAGGTGACAGCATCTAATTTTTATCTAGCTTTCTTTTATTTACAACAGTTTTTGTGATGATTTATATATTGCCATGTCATCACCAGGTTTAAAGAAGATAAGTGAGGGGAAGGTTGGTCTGTTATTGTTGGCTGGAGGTCAAGGAACGAGGTTAGGTGTTTCCTATCCTAAGGGAATGTACAATGTTGGACTGCCATCAAACAAAACGTTGTATCAGCTGATGGGTGAAAGATTGTGGAGACTACAAGAGTTAGCAGCTGAGGTTAATGGAGGGAAACCAGCCATCATTCCATGGTTGGTCATTTTTTTCGAACTTGCTGTTTTTTTAATTTTGATGATGAAAAATATACGTTATTCTCAGTATATAATTAATTAATTATCTATTATAATATTATATAATAAACATTTAGTCAAGTTATACGGGTTGAATGAGCACTGTAAGATGCAATTGAGATAATTGGAGTTAATATGAAATGAAGAATTGAACTAACTAGGTACATAATGACAAGTGAATCAACAAGACAACAGACAGAAGAATTCTTTGAACAGCATAATTTTTTTGGACTGGATAGACAAAACATAATATATTTTGAACAAGGTCCTCTATTAATTTAATTTATTTCATCTCATTTTTTGGTTAAATATAGCTAATCTCGTGTTATTCAAATATGAAGTTTACAATTATATGTTTTCAATTAATTAATTAATTTATTATTTTATAAAAGACTAGAATCAAAAACTTTAAACACAAAAGGTTACATGCCTTGCGTTGATTTTGATGGAAAGATCTTAATGGACTCAACTTCAAGTATTGCCAGGGCACCAGGTTACATTTATCCGTTCATTCTTCATTCATTCATTTATTCATTTATTCATTTATTCATTCGTTCATTCATTCATTTATTCATACATTCATTCATTCTTCCATTCGTTCGTTTATTCATTCATTCATTCATTCACTCATTCCATTCATTCATTCATTTTTTCATCCATTCATTCATTCACTTAATTATTCACTTAATCAATCGTTAATTCATATTTTATTTCTTAATTGTTGACAGTAAATATAATGTTCAATTAGAATATTAATATATTCTGTCTTTAAGGTTGTACAAGCTATACACAGTCAACGCAATACAAAAATAATTAGAAAAAGCTGTATTAGAAGTTTGTCTGTATATGCATGAACATGAACACATGTAGTTTATCTTGCATAAGTTTACTAGGAGTTTATTAACGGTAGAGGTGAGTTGATGCGTATTTCTCATTCCGCCCCACTATGCCCAGATGGTAATGGCGGATTGTACAGTTCACTCAGAAGAAACAGAATAATTGAAGACTTCAGAAGACGAGGTGTTGAATGCTTACATGCATACTGCGTTGACAACATCCTTGTCAAAGTGGCCGATCCTACCTTCATTGGGTTCTGTACCTCAAAGAATGCCGGCTGTGGCGTCAAGGTCATTGATAGTCCATGTTGTTTTTATAGTTTGCTGTGTTTGTTTTTGATATTGTCGAGAGTTTACATTGTGATATGTAATGTATTTTTTTACTTTCACTGACCGTTTAAAAAAAATTTTTCAATGTATGATTGTAAGTTTCATTTTTTCTCTTGCAGTAAGAAAAAATATAAAAATATTGTTTCCAATTAAATAAAAAATTTCAGAAACACTTGCAAATGTTGATCTCTCAATGGTATATCTATGATAACGAGGTATGTGTTGGTTCAAACGCAATTACATAACAGGTAGTTGAGAAGACCGATTCCACGGAACCGGTCGGTGTGATATGCAAGTACAAAAATAAGTACCACGTTATGGAGTACAGTGAGATATCGACGAAGGCGTCAGAGATGAGAGTAAGTGACGGGAGTAATCGCTTGGTGTACAACGCCGGCGGCATCGCTAACCATTTCTTCACTGTCGATTTCCTCGAGAATGTTATTAGGTCTGCTGGTTTTACGTTATCTTCTGATGATCTCTTAGATTTATTCATGCTTTTTCTGCTTTGTTCTTTATTATACATTTTCAATTGATGCAGTTTAAAGGTAGTATATTATTACTTAACAAATGACGTAATGAAGGCCAAATTTGATATGAAAATTTACTACATAAAAATGAGATTTAATTAAGTTAGAATTATTAACTCATTAAAATAATATAAGGTAGATTATGATGCTTGTTTAACGACTTCACAGCCAGGATGACAAACTGCACCACCATGTAGCCAAGAAGAAGATTCCTCATGTTGATGAAGCAGGAAATTTCGTCAGTCCCAAAACACCGAATGGAATAAAGATGGAAAAATTTATTTTTGATGTCTTCCAGTTCACAAAGTTTGAACTTTTGTTAAATATTTTTCATTGTTTTCAAAATTATAAAGGCTTGCATGAAAAATTGAGATCTTTCAATTTAACTATCTTACCGCATTAACAACAAAACAGCGACTTCGCAGTGTGGGAAGTCATTAGATCGGACGAGTTCTCACCACTGAAGAATGCCGACTCAGCTGGTGTTGACTGTCCAACGACTTGCAGAGAATCTGTGTTCCAACTGCACAGGAAATGGATTGAAGCTGCCGGCGGTAAACTTATTTCCTGCAATCAATCCTCGCTTTCAAACCAGGAAGATGACAATGAAGCAAGGTTTCATGAAGTTTCATCGTTCTTTCTTTGCTCTGCACTTTCAAGTACAACTAAGATAAATTAATTCGCGTGTTGCAATACGTTGTAGTTTTCTCAACTTCGATGTCGTTTATTAATGATTCCAGGAAATCAGAGCCGCAGAAAGCTGGTAACTTGATATGTGAAGTCTCTCCCCTGGCCAGTTATGAAGGAGAGGTAGAAGCAGCTTATTCTTATATTTTATTTGATATTTTTCAATAAATTGTCATTTGTTTATTTAAGTATTCTGTAAACCCCTGTAATCGTAAAAAACAGCGTTTAATATTTAATTAAAATACCTTTCAAGAATCTTGAGGACTACGTAAAGGGCAAGGAGCTCACTGCACCTCTTCTCATAAACCCCAAGACTGAGACCGCAATGAAACTGCATAATTGATGATGACCATGATGCCAGACAGCAGGCACGCTGAAGTCCTACATATTGTTTTGCTCATAATTCCATGACTTAATTCATTTGTCTTTTTTGTTTCAAAATTTAAACTAAATTTTCATCATACTTATAATTAAAACTCTTTTCGTTACTCGGTTACAATTAGTCGAATATGCAATATACTCCTCCTACTTTCATCAGACTAGCAAAACAACCTACATAACACTCCGCTTTCGTAGTTAGTAATTAAAAGCAGTACACGTTTCATGTCGCCTACATATTGTTAACTGTTACGTGCCAGTTAATTTGTTTTATGCCATGTTAATAATTTAAAGTGTTAATTGCTGACTTGAAGACTTCAGTTATTATTCTGACGCAAGACTTATTTCGTCATTTATAAATATAATGTGTGAACACAAACATCCGTCAATTGAATTTTTATTGAAAATTCATAGTTATTACCTAGATTCAAGAAAACAAAAAAAAAATAGTGAGATAAAAAAAAACAAGATAAATAAAATTTAACTGTAAAAGCTATAACAAATAAATTTTTTTTTTATAATTTAACAAAATAAAGTGTAAAAATATCAACTGACAACTTAATAAAACCCAATAAAATAAACAAAGCCATCAGACAACAGAAAGTCATTAGATGTGTATTAATAATTTCGCTGCATCTCTGGTCATGAAGAACGCTTAGGGTAGCGTATAAAATTTAAGCTGCCTTTCCTGGATCTTCTTTCAGTGGCAGTGTGAGGTTGAAGACAAACTGCAAATAAATATAATTAGAAATCACAACATTTAAAAAACTACGGAGAAAATATATATGACTTTAAATACCTTTTTATCAGTTGTATCAGGATCAACACAGAAGAAGCCAACTCTTTCAAATTGAAATTTTTGAAGGACCTTTGCATTGGATATCGACTTGTCAACATGTGCTCTCTCTATCACTCGCAAGGAGTTCTGTAATAAATTTGTCTCAAAAGTTCAGTTCATAATGAAAAATATTTAACACAAGTTATGTCAAAATTGTAAACACTGAAAATAAATTTGAGCACCATATAATTCTCTTTTACATCATAAAATCATTGAATTCAATTAAAAACTTAATGTGACCAACCAAATTGCAATCAGACAAGAAACCATTTGGAACTTCGTTCTTATCTTCAGGATTCTTGTGAAAGAATCTGCAGAGTGACGAATGATGACGTCAAAATAGATTAACATTACATTACAGAGAACCGCTACTGCATTCATTATTAATTATTACTATCACAATATTTGTTGTCATTTATATAAAATCTTGCATTATTGTGACATTTGTTTAAAAAGTAAGGAATGTAATGTAATTAACTTTAAACATCATCAAAAAAATCATGCTCAAAAAATTTTGTATGCACAAAATAACAAAACACTAAAAACACAAATTTGTATAATTCTCATGAACACCCAGGGCCTACTCTCTCTCTATTGAAACACTTTTAATGAATCTCGGTCTGCAAATAAAAACATATCAAACTAATTAATTAAAGTACTTACAGTCTTTCGTAGAGTCTGATTTCACATATCAGTGGCTTAGATACCCAGTGAATGAATGCTTTCGGTTTTTCTATTTCATTTAAAAGGTGACATTTGACAAATAATTCTTCAATTTCTTGGCTGTTGAAATTCTTGACGACACGCTCAACACTGATAACCATATTGGCATAACGAAGGCCAACCGGCTGGTTGGTGGCAAGTCGTTTGTAGTTTTTATCTGCATGCTGATGAGTAGTACAGCATTTTTAATATATTATTCAAAAGTTAAGGAAAAATATTTTATAATAAGATAAATGTCTAAAAATAAAAGCTCAATTCTATTTATTGGCCTAGCACTTACTACTTGAAGAAAAGTTTTTAATAACGAGTCATTGACTTGAAACTTGTTAATATGTAAGAGTTTTACCTCTCTGAAATCAGACCTATCGATGTATATGACAGAATCAAAGTCTATTTCATGGTGTGACTTGCTCTCATCAAGAGGAAAATCAGGAACTCTTAGAGTTCGAGGCACATTCTGAGAAAGATTTGTGATGGTCACCTTTATCGGGTCTAGGACTGCCATGGCTCTGCAATTCAACATTTTTTAGGTATTGCCAAATAAATTAAACAATTTACACATCCTCACAAACAAAATGTGAAAATATAAGAATCATCATTGAAGCTGAAAGTTCTCAACAACCTTGGGGCAGTAATATTGAGGACATCTCTGACGCATGTTTCCAGCATGGATGGATCCAATGTCACCTGAGCCATGGACACACCTACCTGCCAATCAATTATTCAACTGTTCGGTCAATAGAGTTGCATACTATAATGTTGTTGCTTGAATAAAATTGTGCAAAATGATCACATGCCTTTCCGCAGAACATGTTTATAGCTTCTGGCGGAAAGCCACGCCTCCGAAGGGCTGTCAGTGTGAACAGACGAGGATCGTCCCAGTCTCTGGTGAATAAATTTACATTAATTAAAAATAAAAAAGCAACATTCTCAGAAAATAAAGTTAACAAATAATTTAATAATTATAAAGTATTCTAACCTGACAATTTTTTCAGATATAAGTTTGGCAATTTTCCTCTTAGAAACAACAGCATAGTACAAGTTCAGTCTACCATATTCCCATTGGACAGGGCAATAAAGGTCAAGGACATTGCACAGCCAATAGTATGATGATCGCCTGTCGTGACATAAATTACTTTTCAATTTTATTTTGTAACAAACAAACCGGAACATCAATTGGAAAACTGAGATAAAACATGGAAAACAATAATGAAAAATAATTAATCTGGCGCAAAAAATATACCTAGATTGAAATTCTTTGGTGCAAAGAGAGTGGGTAATATTCTCAATGGAGTCGCACAAGCAATGAGTGTAGTCATATGTTGGATAGATGCACCTTAGTGAGTGGCAATTTCATTTTTACTTTTAAATTAAAATGTTATTTCTTGTTATTTAATCAATTTGTAGACACAACATTAAAAGTCCCAATCAACAGACTAAGCAGCTAACCAACCAACCAATCAACCAACCAACTGCCGATCAATCCATCAATCAATCGACCAACTAACTGCTAATTAATCGTCCAATGAACCAACCATTGATCCCCACTCCTGTGATGTGGAGTAAATTTAATCCTGTACGCGACAGGATCCTGCTTGCCTTCTTCCAGGGTTGTCTTCATCCGAAGTGTAGCATCACCCTCATTTATTTTCCCCTTCTTCATGTCCTGTAACAGAAATTTTAGGTGTTCAATAATTTTTTCTTCAACACAAAAAATTAAAATTACTAGTCTAAATGACAAAATCAAACTACAGCAAAAAAAAAACTGACAAAGAAAAACACAATAGAAGAAACTGACCTCAAACAACCTGAGACTTTCCTCAATGGGCCTCTCTCTCCAGGGTGAGGGTGGAGGATTGAAGCCCTTGATCTCCTCTGATGTTTGATGGCAGACGTATGCCAGGTTTCGTTTGATGAGTTCAACAGCAAGGTCATAGAGTTCCTGGAAGTAGTCAGAGCTGTGGGTCACTTTGTATGGTTTGTACCCTGTACATGATGAAAGTAGCAGTTATAACTCATCATTTAGTTTCGGCTTAACATATCAAACTATATAAACTTACTGTAAAATTTTGCAATAACAACAGCACAAATAAAGTGAAAGCAAAGGATATCCGATGAATAAACCAAAAATGTATAAAACTATATAAATATTAAAACCCAATACCATAGACTAGCAACAATCAAAAAAGAAAAATTAGAATCATGACATTTACATGGATCACATAGAGCCTGTCAGCAAAACTGAATAAAAGTAGCCTAGAATTATAAATATGACACATATAGCAAGACTGTAGTGATCTGCCTAACATGATGTAGTTAGTACACAGTACAGCATCCGTCAAACAGACAGTAACATTCAAGAGGCTACCCACCTAACCACTCAACCATATCTTTGATGCCAACGAAAAATTTCTCTTCTTCCTTCTCAGGATTTGTGTCATCATACCTCAGGTAGCATATGCCATTGTGAGCCTGCCATATCATCAACAACGTATGCATTTTATTTCTGAACTATTGTTTAATGGAACTAATAACTCCAATTAATTCACTGTAATTACATAAAACTGCTCCTACATCTTGTTATTGGATTTCCATATGACAGATTAGGTGAAATGGTATTTTTGATTACTTTTATTTAATTTTTCACTGTGGTATTATGTATATTGAAATAAATGACTCACACTTCAAATTCTAAATTTAAAAACACATCCAGCTACTAAAATAGAAAATGTCTGTGTGAATGAAATCAATTTGCTGGAACATAATTCCAAGTTATTAGATTTCAATCATCTATCTACTTACTACCATTGATTCCTTAAGAGTATCAAATGAATGATACTAAAGCATTAAGCATAACGAATTACAATGTCCTAATCAAAGGAGTGGCATCACCAAACAGAGAGGAATTCCCTTCCCCTACACACACAAATCTAAACTAATGCAACATAGAATTGAAACCTACCCTGGCATATCCAAAGTTGAAGTTGATGGCCTTGGCATGTCCAATGTGCAGGATGCCATTGGGTTCTGGAGGGAACCTTGTCACTACCTGACCGTTTCAAAATATAATTTACAATCAGAGTTGAAAAACAACATGTTGTTATTAGTTTAGACGAGCATGATTAGAACTATTCTATTGAAAAGAGCTAGCTGCCTATTGAATAATGTACAAAGTTAACAAAAAATTATTGAAAAAAAGACCATTCAATAAATTACATATGCCATGCAGTAATTCAATTAACCATATGTAGTCAATCAATAATTAATTAATTAACCAACCAAATCATTCTACCAATGAACTAACCTGTCCCTTAGTTTCTTGGAGATGTTTTTTCAGAAGTGCCATAGTGTTAGGTGTTATCACATAACCATCTGTCTTGTAATTCTCACCTACAATTATTCAGATTAATTATGTTTAACAGCAAGTCAAATTTATCATAATTACATTTTGACAAACATTGAAATTACAAAGAGAACAAGGACAAAAAATAAGCGCAAAAGATCTGAACAATTGTATGAAGTTGACTGACCATTGAAGAACATTGTATTTAAATCTTCAACAGTTAATTAAACAACAGTTTATATACCATCTCAATTTTGTGTCATTACTATAGCAGTAGTTACAACACAGCAAGATGTGATGGATTGTACAAAAAAAGGTGTGCATGTTTGTATAGGAAATAAACATATGCCAAAATTTACATCCCAAGTGATAAGTAAATATTTTATAAGAAAATTAATTGCAAATTTTATTTTCTATAAACACAGGTTACACTAATTCAACATTAAAACATCAATTAAATCTGAAAATCTTTCATTATGAGTCAAGAACATGAAAAATTGTATGAAGTTGACTGACCATTGATGAACATTATGTTTAAATCTTCAACAGTTAATTAAACAACACTTTATATACCATCTCAATTTTGTGTTGTTACTAGAAGAGTTACAACACAGCAAGATGTGATGGGATAAAAATATGTGGTGAAACTAAGAGTAAGCTAACATATGCTTCCAAAAAATATTTTTGTTACAAAATAACTAAGTTATCCACTGCAATTAAAAGTGATTAAACTGCAATTAATGAAAGAGAAACATCAATAAACTGTGAAAAACTTCCAGATTAACAAGCAGAACATATTTAACAGTGCTGTGCTGAGGTAAATAGACAGACCTGGCATGTGAAACTTCAAAGCGTGTCCTGCCAACTCAATGAATGGAGTCAGTTTACCATTTTTATCTATATCTATTTGGTGGTTTCAAAAACTTTGCAAGTTTTTAAAAAATACAGTAATATAAAAAACAGAACAGAACAACAAACACCAACAACCGCAACAAAAAAGAACTTACATCCATCAGTTGTAAAGGCAACAGCATCTAAAGACTGTGCAGTCGCTAAAGAGTTGTTGTCTGATTGTTTTTGTTGTTGTTTGTTGTTGGTTGCTTCAGTTGATGATACTGCTGCTTGTTGTTGTGGCTGTTTGGTACTCGGCTTGGCTTCCTTTCAAAATTATAATGACATTGTGCTGTGTATCAAACCAAAAGTAAATTGAATTAGTATTAAAATCAGCTGTGGATTGTAAGTTATTACAAAATACCATCCAAGAAAGCAGAAATTTCACAAATAAATGAGAACATTGAATGTGATAAAAAAAAATTATGTTCAGAGTTTGCAATCAACCAGCTATCCAAATAAACTGACTGAGAAATAACTATGAACAATCAGATGCGATTGATTTGTATGTGCCAACTTTTGAAAGACCATCATCAAAAAGGTAATGATGACTTGCAAATACTCTAGTGGCAAAAATGTTACATGAATTCATTGAATTTAGTATAGTTAAAAGAAAACAATGATAAATAATAATAACTAAATTTGGAAAAGTAACTTAATTACAAACTTTTGGTCTTGGCTTGAGATCATCCTCTGTTTTTGGACCCAGCATGTCTAAGAGCTGTAGTGAAGAATAAGAAATAACTATATACAAAAACGAAACTAACTGAAAAAACTGATTATCATCATAATGATCGCAACAACCAGCATCACAATCACCACACCACCACCATGGTCCATATTATCACCTGAACTTCAATTTCACTCTTTACAAACTTTCCATCGGCCCATTTCAATGATTTTCTGACATCAGCTGGTTAAATTAATTAAAAAAATACATAAATTAACTAATTAAATAATTAATAATGGTAGTTATCTTTGCAAAAAGGTAATTTAGTACTGATTAATTCATCAATTAATGATAATAACATCTGCAATGTTGAATGTTAACCCAATGAGCACATCTTATAACTCAGTGTAAATCTAAATTTTAAAATGAGATAAAAGAAAAGAACAAGGTGATAAAATAATGTACAAAGTGTTGCAAACAGTACACTTGTGAACATCAGTGTACTGAGTAATGACTTTGATTGAATCCTCATTTTATATCACCATGTCTGTTTGCTATGCCTTCATTTCCATGCTCACTACATAGTAATCCATGAACATGAAAACTTTACATGGTTTCATTATTCAACAATTAATAATGAATAGGAACTACATTTAAACATTCAAAAAAGCAAAAACACATACAGATCATTATGTTCTAAGAAATACATACAGGTTATCTTCATCAATGAAGCAACCACCAATTTTCATATAATGACAATGAGATGCGATTATAAAGAAGCTAAAAGAATATGAAACAAAATCTAACCCATTAACAACCCAGTGTTAAAATTGTACCTCTTTGTTAAGATTTCATCTTTAAACTTTGACATGCTTTCTGTCACCTATGGGATAAATTAAAATATTTAAAAAATGATTAATAAATCTAAAATAACAAAAAAAACTAATTTAAGAATCATTTCATAAATCAAAAAAGTAAAATATACAAACAGCATCTTCAATTTGTTCTGAAGTCACCACAATCCCCACTCCTGAAATGTCTTCAAACTTCTTCACATCCACATTAGCATTTGGATGGTGCAATAAGTAGTCCAATGACGCTATGCATATTAATTATACTTTGTTATCAACATTTTTAAATTAAAATTTAATAAAAAAATGCAGTAATATTAATTTTGTTTATAATAAATTACAGTTTTATTAACTCATTATAATAATATAAATGACAAATTAAGATGCTTAAAGAAAATTAAAACAATTATTTAATTGACACAGCAAAAAATGATCATTAACTGAAAAAAATATTTATAAAATAAAGCATATAAAATTGCTACAAACCATTCAGCTGAATTTCTGAATTGATTTTCTTGCTTGCAATGTACTTCACCAAGAAGGATCTGTGATGAGCAATTTGAGATTTCAGTTTAGTCACAAGAACATACAGAAGATTCCCAACTGTTTTATTGTTTAGACATTCCTTATCAACTTTTTCAGCCTGAAAAGAAAAACTGCATCAAATAAATAAATAAATATTAATCAACACACTTTTTCGTATGCCCATTGTGTAGTTTTTTTCAACTATTTTTACATTAGGATTAGAATCATTATGATTATAATATAACCATAATGCAAAATTAACCAAGTCCATAAAAAATAACTTTAACAAAAACACAACATTCTTTAAAAATTTAAAACATTTTATTCAAGTTATCCTATGGCGTCGGACAAGGTCTTTCTCAGAATAAGGAAACTCCGCTATTAATTATAATAATTATATAAAAATTAAATCAGATGTAAAAAAAAATCAGCACAAATGAAAGAAACACGCACCTCATGGATAACAGTTTTGAGATTTTCGCTCAGGCTTGTATTTTTAATTGTGTCTTTGGATTTATTTTCTGTTAATCCAATTTTTCCAAAAAGTTGAATCAGATCAGCATCTTGAGCCATTTTATCATCCGATTTAACAGAATGGCGAAACAAAAGACGGTGTCACGCACGTGCAGGCAAAAACCGAGTGCAAAGGAAGTGGCGAGTTAAGGCTGGAGCCAATAAAGATGTACAATATATTTTTATTGCCGATGGTTTCTATTTTGTAATTTTGCAATAAACCAGAATATAGTACTACATGAATCTAGCCAAAAAATTACCTGCTTGATTCACCCATGGATTCACCATATAAACGCCAAATTATAAATATATCAAATCTATAGATATATATCTATACATTATCTAATACCTATATCGAACTGTTGTGTGATTTCGGTGATGCATAATGGTAACTATTCATTTGATTCGAGATACTATACACCAAAGACGGCGAGATTTCTAGTGCTAAATTATACAATTTCATTCTCAAAAAATTGTGTACTACAGGAATCTATTAAAAAACTACAAGTTTAAATCATCATATTAGCCCAACATTCCAAAAATATCGAATTCTAGTGCGAGTTCAGTACATAGGATGGTAACAGTGCGGACGATTATTAGATATCAAAGGCTTCGGGAATTCAATTAACAAATTATACAATTTTAAGCTCAGGAGTTTGAGCACTATATAAATCTGGGTAGAAACTATCAGTTTATTTCACTATATTGCACCAAATTCTATAAAACATTGAAATATAGTGTGTTTTCAGTAATACATAATAATAACTATTTGGTCGATTCATGATACTATACATAGAAAAGTCGCTAATACCATTACAAAATTATACATCTTCATGTTCTGGAAATAGTGTACTAAGAAATCTAGTGAAAAACTACAAACTTCATTCGCTATCAACACCAAACTTCAAATATAACGAACTCTAGTGAGTTTCAGTAACAAATTAGGGTAACTATATATTCGATTCAAGAAACTTTATATCAAAATCGGTGAGATTTCCAAAACCAAGTTTTACATTTTCAAACTATAGCGAATATATACATAAATCTAGTAAAAAAAACTACAATTATATCCGGTTAAATTAAAAAAATTCGAACTAGTGTACCTTGATTTATTCTCTGTTTGCTAATTATATTAACAGTTTTCAATTGAAGTCTTATATTGTGGTAAATATTTGCAATATTTTTTTAGGTTTGTTATACAGGTAAATAATTAATTTTTTTAATAACTAATTTTAATATTTATAATTGATTTGATAAAATAATGCTTCATTCAAGACGTTCATATTATTACGTACATTAGTGATTGAAAAATATTTTATCTTTGTACATGTTATATACATTTTCTATGTATGTTTATAAACAAACAGCGATAATTAAAATTACGTTTTTTAGGTGTAAATTTCGCGTCAATTTCTAAAAGCCATTTAAAAACATTCAGTTGATTTTTCACTAATAATTGTTTTTAAAACTAGTTTCAATTTTAGATTATACCACTAAAAATAAAAATGTCTGACGAGGAGCACGACGTTTTGCAAGGCACGACGGGCAGAGAAGAGGGTGGACTGATCATCATGAAAAAATCGTCTGCCGCTGATGAGCCCCACACCTTCAAAAAACCAACATCAACCTTCTTCACAAATCACTCAAGATTGGGACTTGATAGAATTGCGGCCGAGAAAAAACGGGAAAGTTCCGATATGGACAAACAGAAACTCGCAAGGTCTTTTTTTAAATTTTTTTATTTTATTGACTAAATTTTAATTATTTAATTGAACAGTAAGCTTCAAATGCAAATTAATTTCAATAATTTTTAGATATGCTTATCATGGTTTTATAATTTATTTACTATTTAAATTTAGACTAAACTATACTCTAAAGTCTAAAAAACTAATATAAACTTAGTTTTAAGTTAAAACTTATAACTTATAATTATTTAAACTCAATGACAATTTTAAAATTTAGCCTCCTTTTCCTTCTTTAATAAATTAAATAGCTTTATTATTATTTATATCTGATTTGTTTTTGTTTTATTTACCGACACTCGCACTCTCATATACTTTGTCAATTTTAGCACAAAAAAGGACAACAATAATATCACTTTCATGTATTTTTGTATTTATCATATAAATATCATAGACTTATACATATCTCAGTTATAAACATTATAATATTTATTTATAACACAACCTTTTTTATGCCATAAGCCATAAGGGCTTAAGTTCTTTAAATTATTAACTGATTAATAAATGTGAAAATGTTATAGAAAATGTTTATTTCTTTTCAAAAATGTGCCTTAGCTTTCTAATTTATGTTCAAAACAAGATTTTTTACTTTTATTATTTAAATAATGATATGATGAAATCTTTATTTAAATGGTTAAAAATTATATATGTTCTAAAAGATTTCATAAATTTTTTAATAAATTTTCATTTTTTATTTAGCTGTTAAGATTGCATTACTTTTTTGTACATAATTTTTGTATTTAATACAGTAATTTTTATGATTTTCATTAATAACTCATTGCTTATTTAACAAAAAATTTGCTACAACTAAGCAAGATGGTAAAATTTTAAAATGATGAACTTTCAAAAAAGCAGAACATACAGGGAGAGAATTGATGAGACCCCGACGTACACAGGCGGAGTAAGTGATGCATATTTGCAGAAGAGCAAAGATAGAAGAGATAGAGATCGGGGTGTTTATACTTCCTCCAAAGATAATAAAGGTATAGGAGATTGGTGAATTTTTTATTAATTTCATACGATCATATTATTTTTAAACAAGTTCTTTAATAAACTCTTCTCAGTTGGTAATTCATCTTTTTCATCCATATTAGTTATTAAATTTAACAACTTGACATTTAGTACGAATTAGGTATAAAAAATAAAAAATATTTAATTTCATAACTTGCTTATTCACGTTTTACAAAACAGAGAAGAAGCAAAACAGTTCGTCATCCTCATCGTCAACATCAGTAACACAGACAACTAGTAGAGAGGAAACGTCAAAAGGTGAGAGTTATAGGTCAAGTTCAAGGTCATCTAGAAGGGGCTGGGAGGAGGAGACACCGAGGAATAGAGGTCCAATGACACCGAGGTTGTCATCGTCAAAAGGTAAATAACAATGGCAATCAGCTGCTTTTTATAAAACCACCATCAGTTTTGCAGTTGTTGTTGTTTTATCAATTATTTATTTATTATTTATAACTAATATGCTTAGAGATGAGCAGTGAATTTAATCAAAATTACCCTTTACAACCTCTAGACACGCCTTCAAGAACGAACTGGGATGATGATGATTTGTCTTCTTCATCATCGGTGGTGAAAAAATCATCATGGGATGTACCGACACCAAGTTTGTCATCATCTTCGTTATCAAAAAAAGGTGATAGGCAAAAGGAAAGGTCTCGCCATTCAGATAGCGGCTACGTAAAGTACGCTCTAAAGTTTTCAGTATTTCAAAATCAGGAAATAAATTGTAAAATTATTTCTCTAGTTAGTAAATTTATTTAAAAAGTTTAGTGACACTTAATAATTTTAATTGTCATCAGTTCGACTTACCTTTCGTGTCGTTGTTTAATTTAACTTTTTTTCAAATATTTTACAGATCGTCATTTTCAAAGTCGTCTTCTTCACGTAAAAAAACTCCAGCCCCGACACCAGCCTACAAGTACAACAACTGGATGGAGAACGGAGGCAAGAAAGTGAGATACACCCCGAGAGAGTTCAACAAGGATGGTGGTGGCGAGAGAGATGGTGATGGGGGTGATGGGAAGTTTAATGGCAGTCAAGATGATGGTGATAGAGATTTTGAGAAAGGTAAATTTATATTTTTTATTCATTTATATATTAGACTTCCTCAAATTGGAGAATCTCCAATGGTTTTAATTGATATCCAACTGCTGGGAGCAAGCAGTGAAACGAATTTTCAAAGTATTAATAACCTTTAACCCTCCTTTTATTTGACCCCATTAACATTTGAAAGATGAGGAGCTGCGTGAGTGCGAGATCCAGGCAGATCGGCTCTGGTACAACATGGACCAGGAGCAGGACCCTGGATGCATCGACGACACCGAGTACACCAGGAGGAAGGAACAGGAACTGGAAGTGAAGAAGAAGAAAAAAATGTCTGCCCAACAGAGGCAGATACAAAAAGTTAGTGTGTGTGTGTGTTTGCGTGTGTGTGTGTGTGTGTGTGTGTGTGTGTGTGGTGTGTGTGTGGGTATGGAGACTACCGTTTCATTTCATTTACCATTTCAATGTACATAAAGGATTTTGAAATATTTCATTCTCTCCTTTAACTAATGAAATAAAAATCATTCTCACAACTATCAATTAATACAACAACTCATACAAAACCTGCCACAAAGGATAACGAAATGTGGGAACTAAATCGTATGTACCGCAGTGGAGCTGTGATCCGATTGGACCATGAGGAAGACTTTGACAACCAATCAGAAGCGAGGGTTCACTTGCTGGTCCACAACATTGTTCCTCCATTCCTCGACGGAAGGATAGTTTTTACCAAACAGCCGGAACCCATAGTGCCACTGAAGGTTAAACACGACTTTTTTAAATTATTTTTTTTGGGTTGCTAACTTTTGTTGTTACAAAAGAGTCATTTATTTATTTATTATTCGTTTAATATTAATTTTATTATTATTTTTACTATCGTTATTATCATTGTTAACAGGATCCGACTTCAGACATGGCAGTTGTCTCTCGCAAGGGCAGTGCTGTCGTCCTCCAACATCGAGAACAGAAGGTTGTTGTTGTTGTTGATGCTGTTGTTTGTGATGCTATTAATGTTGTTGATGCTGTTGTTGTTGTTTATGATGCTATTAATGTTGTTAATGCTGTTGTTGTTGTTTGTGATTTTATTAATGTGGTTGATGTTGGTGATGATGATGATGTTGGTGATGATGATGATGATGTTGGTGATGATGATGATGATGATGTTGGTGATGATGATGATGTTGGTGGTGGTGATGATGATGATATTTTTAACATTCTACCGGTTAGGAGAGAAAGAAGGCTCAGAAGAAACATTGGGAGCTGGCCGGGAGTAGGATCGGAGACATCATGGGGATCAAGAGGGAAGAGGAAGAGGAAGTTGTCAATCAATTTCGTTTTTTATTATTATTGTTATTATTGTTGTTGTTGTTATTAATGATATTATTACCATTGTTGTCATTATTATTTTTGTCATTAATGTCGTTGACTTCATTAATTAAATTATTTTTAAAAATTATTTCAAATCTTTTTAACCAATCATCAATCATCACACGGCAGAAGGACAAAAGCGATTCGGTGGATTACAAATCGGACCAAAAATTTGCCGAACACATGATCAATAATAAATCAGAAGCTGTTTCAGAATTTGCCACCAGCAAATCCATCAAACAGCAGCGAGAATTTCTGCCCATTTTTGCCGTCAGACAGGAGGTGGAGTCACTAATTTCAATCAAATTTTATTAAATTGTTATTTGGATATATTTTTAATAGTGTATCTTTCGAGTCATTTTGTTAACCCGTAGACACTATGGTGGTGTAATGGTTAAGATGCCTGGCACTGTTTATGCAGTAACTGGTTTTGAATTCCAAGAGATCCTCAGCTATCACGTTCATTCACGCTTGTTTTACGTACGCTGATTGAAAAAAAAAAAAATTCTTACCACTAAAAAGTTTTCAGATTTTAAAATCCACTTTCTGTCTATTATTTTATAATTATTTTTAAATAATATTAATTGATTTCATAAAAATTGTCGTATGAATGTTGAAGGAATTAATTAAATTTCATTTGAAGCTGTTGAAAATAGTGCGAGAAAACAGTGTGGTGGTCATCGTCGGGGAGACAGGCTCTGGAAAGACAACTCAACTAACACAGGTTTGTTATTGTCATCATGCGTCGATCTTGTTCATTTATCCATCTATTCAACAGTCATTTTGTTCGTCCATTTATCCGTCGCTCATTTTATTTATCACGTTTGTTATTTTCGTTTTTGCCTGTTATGTCTTGCTTGCGTTTGCGTGGATCTGTAACCAGGACGTCATCGTTTGCGGCATGTGCCGGGACTGTTATGTATCTGTGTTACAAACTATCTTTCTTTCATCAATTTCAAACAACCTTCGTCATAATCGTCTTCATCATCATCGTCGTCGTCGTCATCATCATTCATCGTCTTCATCATCATCGTCGTCGTCATCATATTCGTCGTCATCATCCTCATTTATCGTCGTCATCATTCATCGTCTTCATCATCATCGTCGTCGTTATCATCACGATCAGTACCTGCACGAAGACGGCTACACGGATTACGGGATGGTGGGATGCACGCAGCCAAGGAGGGTGGCCGCCATGTCGGTCGCCAAGCGAGTGTCCGAGGAGATGGGAGTGCCTCTAGGCGAGGATGTTGGTTATGCCATCAGGTTCGAAGACTGCACTAATGAGGTAGGTGTGTGTTTGTTTGGCTGTCTGTCTGCTGTATCTCTTCTCTACTACTCTCTCCTCTGTTGTTGTTCTGTTGTTGCTTTGCTGGTTCAAATTTTTGTAGGCAGGTGTTTGTTTGTTTGTTAGTTTGTTTGTTGTAACTCTTAATATATTATTCCATCATGATAATTATAACGTATGCATGAAATACACTAAAAACTATCATAAAGCACACACCCACACGTACACACACACTCACGTACACAATCAACCATGGACAGAGAACCATCATAAAGTACATGACAGACGGCATATTGTTACGTGAATCCCTGAGAGAGCCTGACCTCGACCACTACAGTGCCATCATCATGGACGAGGCACACGAGAGGTCACTCAATACCGACGTCCTCTTTGGACTGCTGAGAGAGGTTTGTGATGATGATGATGATGATTATGATGATGATGTTGGGGATGATGGGGATGATGATGGTGATGATGATGATGGAGATGATAGTGAGGATGTTGATGATGATGATGGAGATGATAGTGAGGATGTTGATGATCATGATGGAGATGATGGGGACGATGATGATGATGATGGGGATGATAATGATGATAGTGAGGATGTTGATGACGATGTTGGTGATGATGACGTTTTGTTTTCGTTTTGTTTTAATCGCATAAAACCGTCAATCAGTGAGTTAGCTCAATCGATGTAAATGCCTTTGACCACCATTACCACCACCATTAATTTCCACCTTCACAACGAGACGACCACGTCATCTTCACTCCGTCACCATTACGACGCAATCTACAATGACGTCATTGCAGGTTCTAACACGAAGGAAAGACTTGCGCCTCATTGTAACATCGGCTACTATGGACTCAGACAAGTTTTCCACATTCTTCGGCAATGTCCCCGTCTTCACCATTCCAGGCCGAACCTTTCCAGTTGAAATATTTTTCGCGTTCGTCCTTTCTGCTTCTTTTCAATTGTCATCCTTGTGAAATTTAATTATAATCCTATAATTTATGTTATACTCTATTTTGCTAATTTGGCTAGAGCGCCGTTCAATTGTAAAAATGTATGCTATATAAAAATATATTTGCTAGATGTTAAATATTTTATTATTTTACTGATATGCAAATGAAATGTAAATTATTTTATTATTTTCAGTTACTAATTAAAATATTTTAAAAGTATGGATAAATGATTGCAAATAGGAAGAACACAGTAGAAGATTATGTGGAAGCAGCTGTGAAGCAGGCACTGCAAGTTCATCTGGGCGGCATTCCCGGTTAGTTGGTTGGATGGATGGATGGATGAATGGTTGGTTGGATGGATGGTTGGTTGGATGGATGGATGGTTGGTTGGTTAGATGGATGGATAGTCAAGTGATTGATTCATCGATAATAATTTTTTTTTGGATTAGTTATCCGACTAATTGGTTAATTGGTTAATATTATAAATGCATAATTGATTAAACGTTCAGGGGACATGCTGATATTCATGCCTGGACAAGAGGACATTGAAGTTACATGTGAATTGATTGCAGGTGCGTCCATTCATTCATTCGTTCATTCATTCATTTTTTCCATTCATTCAATCACATTAGCTGCAGCGACTTTAAGATTACTTTGTATTTAGCGATCGATTCAGTTTTTGTTTTAAAGTTATCAAGTGTTCAATTTTAGCGTACAATTTTGTTTAGAAAATTTATATTAAGTAAAACAATGAAGTTTGTTTAATGTTCATTTGAACTGAACCCACCACTACCCACCAACCACCACTACTACATTTAGAGAGATTGGGTGAGTTGGACGACGCGCCTCAACTGGCCATACTGCCCATCTATTCGCAACTGCCCAGTGACTTGCAGGCCAAGATATTTCAACGAGCTCCCGGTGGCGTCAGAAAGTGTGTGGTGGCCACAAACATTGCCGAAACGTCACTTACTGGTGGGGGCATTGATTTGATGGTTGCTGATTGACTGGTTGATTGATTGATGGATTGATTGATCGATTGATTAGCATTGAATGATTGATTGAGTTGTCCAAAAGTTTGAAAGTTTTGTCATCAAGCATATTTCCAATTTTTCATAATTTAGTTGACGGCATCCAGGTTGTTATCGACAGTGGCTACTGCAAACTGAAACTCTACAACCCTAAAATCGGTTAATATTAGAATGAATGAATGAATGAATTAATGAATAAATGAATAAATAAATAAATGATAACTGACTCATTAATATTAATTAGGTATGGACGCTCTTCAGATATTTCCTATCAGTCAGGCAAATGCTAATCAACGTAGTGGAAGGGCAGGCAGGACTGGTCCCGGGTCAGTCATTAACATAAAATATTCATTAGCACACTACCACCATTTCCATGTTACCATTTATTAATCATTCACAACTAAATTATCATAAATATTAATGAGAGCGCAATCAGAAATTATTATTAGCAGGTACAAAAAATAATTTGTAACTTTCTATTGAATTTATGTGAAATCTTCGGTATTTTGTTACTCTCACGACTACTGTGAATGTTGTAATTTCTTTATTTACTGGTTTGATGATGATTGAAACAACAACAACATCAACAACAACAACAACAACAACGTGACAGGATGTGCTATCGACTGTACACATCGCGTCAGTACAAGGAGGACCTGATGACGGTGACCGTGCCCGAGATACAGAGGACCAACCTCGCCAACGTCGTACTTCTACTCAAGTCCCTCGGAGTCCAGGATCTACTACAGTTTCATTTCATGGACCCCCCACCTGAGGTTGATGATGATTATGATGTTGATGATCATGATGTTGATGATGATCATGATGATGTTGATGATATGATATGATGTGATGATATGATATGATGGTAGAGATGATGGTGATTACGGTCGGGATGATAGCTAACGGTGATTATAGCTAAATGATGATTATTAATTAGATTTTTAAGTAAAAGAACGGCTTCGATTTCTTACTTTTTTGATTTCATTTGCAAGTGATGTTGGTGGTGTGTGGCAAATTTAAATAAACAAGCTTTATTGATAGTGAAATTATTTATTCTATGAACTGTAAGCAATCGCTTAACGGCATCGTCATAACGACACCAACAAATTCAGGACAACATAATGAATTCAATGTACCAGTTGTGGGTGCTTGGAGCCCTGGACAATACGGGGTCTCTCACGCCCCTAGGAAGAAACATGGAGGAGTTCCCGCTTGATCCTGCATTATCAAAAATGCTCATCGTCTCCACCGAAATGGGTTGCAGCCAGGAGATATTGGTACGTTATTTTTCTTATGATTATGTTATTGGTGTGCTTATAATGAAAATGATGAGGATGGCTGTGATTAGAATTGTACTATTGTGAGAATGGTTGGCGAGTTGGATCGGCTGGGTCTTTGTAGACAGATTACAAATTTTTCTGATCTTCTGTGTTAGTTTATGTAGTTAAATGAATGAATGAATGAATGAATGAATGGATGAATGAATGAATGAATGAATGAATACAAACTCAAACTCAAACGTAACCTTTCCAGACCATCGTCTCAATGCTTTCCATCCCCGCCATCTTCTTCCGCCCAAAAGGGAGAGAGGAAGATTCAGATCAGGCCAGGGAAAAATTCCAAGTACCGGAAAGCGACCACCTGACCCTGCTCAATGTCTACAACCAGTGGACCAAGAATAAGTTGGTCTTCATGTTTCTCCCTATTTCATGTTCAGTCTTCTTGTTTCTGTTAAATGCGCCTTATTTTTTATGGATAGTTTTTAATATTTCCAATGTACTTTGGGCTATTTTTTTGAAGTTTTTGTATCTGTGAAGGTTATAAAGATAATCCGGATGGTGTTGATTAAAATGTTAAAGCAGTGCTGAGATGAAGCCAAATGTCGCAGCTTTCATTTATTGGCGTAAAAATTATTTTAATCTATGGGCCATGACATCATTTTATTCCATCGAATATAATTAAGTTTATTATCTAATAACTATTTAAAAATCGTTCAATATTTTTCATTTATCATTCTTTTTTTTTTCTTTCAGTCATTCCGCCACCTGGTGCACAAAACATTTCATCCATGTCAAGTCTATGAAGAAGGTAGGAGACTTCATCTTTTTAACTTAAATTCACGACAGACAAAACATAATTTCGATTTTTTCCACCCAACTTTCGCCATTTTGATCTCTTGGTGAATTTTTTCAAATTTGCTACTTCCATGTTAACATTATTATCTGTCATTACAAATCTGATGCAACATTTATTTAATTCATACACGCACCTACAAATACACCCACACACACACACACACACACACACACACACACACACACACACACACATGCAAATACACACACACGCACACATGCACACACACACACACACACATACACACAGGTACGTGAAGTTAGACAGCAGTTGAAGGATATAATGGAACAGCACAAGATGGCATTGATCTCGTGTAGCAGTGAATGGGATATCGTCAGGAAGTGCATCTGCTCGTCCTATTTCCAACAGGCTGCCAGAATAAAAGTTCGTGTTGTTGAAAGATGTAGATGGAATAATTTTTTGTTTGTTTGGGTGTTTACGGTGTTGGTCTGCGATGCCAATTTATTGTTCTTTAGTCTAGCGGGCTTTTGCTGGAATTTTTTTTGTGCTCATTTGGCCGAGTAGTAAATTTTTATTAATATTTAAATTAGAATACTTACAATATGAATATAAATTCAGCATATTTGATGACTCGTTATTACTATTCGAAATAAATATTCAATTTATATAAAATTTAGTTTGATTTTATATTTGACGTAGCTATTTTTGGTTTAGTTTAATTTTTATTCATTCATTTATTGCAATTAAAGAGATAACCGTTCGTTCTTTATATAAAACAGGGACTCGGTGAGTACGTGAGTCTGCGAACGGGCATGCCCTGCCATCTCCACCCCACAAGTGCCCTCTTCGGCATGGGCTACACCCCCGACTATATTGTCTACCACGAACTCGTCATGACTTCCAAAGTTGGCTGACATATTTTCTATGTTATATCATGTTTTCTAGTGTAATAATTTTTGTTTTTGATTTTTTAAAATTTTATGTTATAAATTGTGATAATTGTGATGAACAGTGAATACATACTGATAACGACAATTGTAATGAACTCGATTAGGAGTACATGCAGTGTGTAACGGCTGTGGATGGGCAATGGCTGGCTGAACTCGGTCCCATGTTTTATAGCGTGAAAGATTCAAACAAGTCCAGGACAGTTAGTCAAAATTTTCCAAAATTAACAATTTATTTTTTGTCTTGCTATTTTTTAGTTTTCGTTGGCGAAAACAAATTTTTATTCAAAATTTTTCGTTGCATCAAAAAGATAACAAAGTGACTTTGCAACAAGAAGAACTAATTTTATATTACGAATCTTACATTTTATTAAAATAAAAAGATTCTTTAAAAGAAATTTTTCGAACACTGCACACGTAGGAGCGACGTAGGATGGCCGAAGATCACATGAATGACATGGAAGATGAGATGAAGAGAGCTCAAGATCAGCTGACGGCCAGGAGGGAAGAAGTTGAACGTTCCCTTGCTTTAAATTTCAAAACGTTCGTTTCAGATTATTGTTCATGATTAGGTGTTGTCATTACATTTGTCAACGTAATTTCTTGGAATGTAAAACTAACTACAAAGGGGTTATACATTATTAAATATTGTAGTTGCTGTTGTATTGTGATTTTTAAAATAAACTTTCCAATTTATTTATTTTAAAGAACGCCGATAATAACTCCTGGCAAGAGGGATTCAGCCACACCACTGATAAATCCATTGACGAAAAAAAGAGGAAGATTTGGACTGTAATTGTTTCTTTGTGCATTTGTGAATAGAACTTTGTTGAAAACTTATAAAATTATGTATACACACACAAACTCTTTTTATCTATAAATAAATTTTTATTGAAACTAATAAACGAATGTCAAAAAAAAGTGTGCCTTTTGTTCAAGACATCGCACTTAAAGAAAATGGCTTTTAGTTACATCGGCCAACATTTGAAATTTAATATCAGTCAGTTGATTAGAGAATATTATTGATGTATGATGTATGCATATAATTCAATGGATGTATGTCTTCCGTGAGCGTTTGGAACTTGAATCTCAAACTATAAGCACGTTTATTTGCCTGTAACGATTCAATTCGTAGTACTATAGAAATTTTTAAACAATTAGAAAAATTACCATTTTTTATAGATAAATTAATTAGATAATACAAAGGAGTTAAAATACTTAGATTACCTACTCGATAACAAACGCTACGCATGCATTCTCACAGATATAATTTCTTATTTAACAAAAGTAATGTCACTACCGATTACTTTTAATTGCATAAATAATGATTTCGTCGTTAATTTTTGATAATAATTTACAAATAAATAAATGAATGTGAATAATTCGTTACATATATAAAGAATACAATAGTATTCCAAGTATTTATATAATCAGCTGTTCACAAAACGGTAGGCAGAGCTCCTTTGAAAAATGTAACTGTTATATTATACCATATATCTAGTTACACAGTAAAGAATTGTAATTATATGTAATATATGAGGTAAATAATGACAGTTCATATTTGGAAATTGCAAGAAGCCATTTATACTTACATGCCATCAAGTAACATTTGAAGAAACAGCAAAGATATATATATATTTTTTCAATACATATGGCAAATATAGTACGAATGTGAAACTTAGTATATAAATCCATCATGTGATAGCTGCGTTGTTTTAGTAACGTGCATGCTACTTATGTCTTAGATGTGGTGATCATTTAGCTAGTTTAGAGTTCTACTGTATAAATGTTTATTATATTAAATATAAATATATATTGTACACATCTTGAATTGAATTTTTAGAAACAGCCTAGAACGTGATGAGTATTTAAACAACAATCCTCTCTTTGTTTAGCTTTGTTTGGATAAATTGACAGAGTGCTATTGTGTAGTCATCTGGATCTGGCAATCCCACTCCCATCTTAATTCATTCCTTCATTAAGTCCATTATCACCATCAAATCAAAATGTTTATTACTGGAGAATCAGGGCAAGCATTTTTAATTAAATTTCGTTGTTAAAATTTTATTTTATTTTATTCAATTTTCAAAGAAACATGAGAACTTTCAATAGTTGCTACTAAATTGAGTATTTGAAAAATAGAAACAAAATTTTGATTGTATTACAACGTTTTTTCTTAGCTAAGTTATTATTTCATCTGATTTTTAGTTAAGTTTCATATTTAATTACTATTACAACAATTTCAAAACGATTTCTAGCTCATTTTACATGATGGGAGACCACACATTTAAAATACCAATGGCCTTGCATAAGCTAAACAGGCAAAGACTCTGTGAGAAACTCAAGGAAGGAACCCTGCCTGAAAATAGTGTGGTCTTCTTACAAGGTGGTGCTGCATTTGCCAGGTACGATACAGACACCGATACTTCTGCTTTTAGACAGGTTCTTTTTAAGATCTCAAATTTTATTCAAAAATTGTCAACAAGATTAGAATAAAATTTATTGTATATTTAAAAAATTATTTATATTACAAGTTGCAAGTTTCAGAAATAAATTTTAATATTATTTAATTAATTTATTAAACCTCAGGAGTCATTTTTCCATTGGTTGTTTGGTGTGACAGAGCCAGATTATTATGGCTTACTTGAGGTTAGCACTGGCAAAGCAATATTGTTCATTCCAAGGCTGCCTGAATCTTATGCTGTCTGGATGGGAAAGTAGATTGTTTATCATTGTTTCTCTCTGTTACTTCCTTTTCTATAGAATTATTTTTTAGTCTTTGTTATGTTTTACTGTATGGCATTATTTTACATTTGTACTAAGCTTTAAAATAGTTAGCTATGCTATGTCAACCTTGCATTCAGTTAATAATACATTTACTTATTCAATTTAAGGGGTTTATTTTATTTATATAATAATTTTCTTGTTACAATTAATTTTATTTGTATCATAGATGTAATTTTTTTTCATTACAAGGATTTTGCCACCCAGCTTTTTCAAAAGTCAGTATGAAGTTGATGAGGCATACTATGTTGATGAAGTAAGGTGGTGTAGGAATTCAGAATGATTACATTATATGTTATTTTCAATAATTAATGTTTAATTTATTTTTTTATGGTTTTATTATATGTAAAAAATTTTTTAATTAAATAAATTAAAAACTTAAAATATTTTGAAATGATATTTTGATTAGATGGTAGATATTTTGAAGAGGAAAAGTCCTTTATGTTTGCTGACATTGGTCAGTTTTTGACACAATTTAATATTGTTTAATTAAATTATGAAAATTAATAATTTGTATTCAGTATAATTGTCGTTATTGTACATTTTATATATTTTTAAATAATATTATAATATTAACACATCAAAAATTGTTTATTTGTTCATATTTTTAATATGTTGTATAAATTTGAAAAATTTTAATTCAGAATATTTAACCTATTTTTTTATTTCATGCTGAATTTTTTGTCTCAAATTTATTTATGTATTATATTTTTATTTATTTTTATACTTTGTAAAATAAATTGGGACTAAATAATTTCATCAATTTCTATATATTAGAAAGGGTTGAATGTTGATAGCAACAGAGAGAACCAAGAAGCTTCGTTTGATGAAATTTCAAGGTAATATAAATTATTGCTGCTACAACTGCTATATTTATCATTCTTATTATTTTTTAATTGCAATGTTTTTCTTATTATTCATGTCGTTGTTTTATCGTTTTTCGTTTATTGTAACTGAATTTAATATGATCTATATTTTTTCAAAGCTTCAATGTCAACAACAAAATTCTCCATCCTGTGATTTCTGAGTTGTAAGAAAAAAAATTAATTTATTTATTTATTAAATTTTATTTATACATCTATTAAATTTATTTTATATTTATTTGAATAGTTATTAACGTAAATTTTTTTATTTTAATTCATAATTATTATTATTATAAAATGTAACAGCAATGATTAAATGTATAGGAGAGTCTTTAAGACGGATTTAGAGCTTGATGTCTTGAGGTATGTCAACAAAATAAGTAGCGAGGCACATAAGGAAGTAAGTTTTTTGGCGTCGTTGGTGACGTTTTGGTTGTTGCTGTTGTTGCTGCTGCTGCTGATGTCATTTTGTTGTTCTAAGATATCATTTTGTTGGTGTCATTGCTGTTGAAATCGTCGCTGTATTTGTAGACATCGTCAAAGTAGTAGTTGTTGTTGATGTCGTACTTTGCATACGTGCAAGTGTACATACACAGACAAACAAGCAAACACACACGCATACTCACACGTACACATTCACACACACACACACACACACACACACACAGGTAATGCTTACCATGAAACCTGATATGTTTGAATATCAAGGCGAAAGGTGATGATAACGATGATGACGGTGGTGGTGTGTTAGTAATGTTAATTAGTAATAATGGTGATGATGATGGTGGTGGTGTTGGTGGTAATGATGATGATGACTCCTTTGTTAGTTTGTCTCTTCATCGTTATTATCATGATGAATTGTGGTTCTTGGTTATATTATAATTGTTTTTATTATTAATTTTATTATTTATATTATTATTTATTATTATTTTTATATAGTAAATTTTTATTATTATAATAATAATAATTATTATTATTATAAACTGTCATCATATTATACAGATTAAAATCTCAGTTATTTATTGGCGCCATATATAATTTTATTGCAAACGGACTTTGATAAACAGCAGATAAAAATAGTTAATGATTGAGACATGTATGATAAAGCGTTAACAATGATATGATAAGGTGTTAAGATGATGAAGATATGAAAAATGATGATGTTTGTGGTGATGTTTGTAATGCGGTGATGACATAAATGTTAATATGATTAAGATAAATGATATTGGCATATTAATATGCTTGTATATGTGTGAGTGAGTGTGTATTTTGTTTGCGTGTGTGCGTACGTATGTACGAGTGTGTACGTGTGTGAACGTGCTTTATGTCTAAAATGAAATCTGCTGCATTATCTAATCAAACTTGGATGGTGTGGTGTATTATTGTCTTGACAGGATGTTCCCACTTAACACGTTGATATGATTTTGATTTTGCGAGAATTTTTTCAAGGGCATGTGACGTTGACAATGATAAGCAATGATGAGTCATTTATCATTTTTAATTTATATTTTTGACATTATAAAAAATATATACGTGGTTGTTTATATGCGTGGTTGTTTACATGTGGGGTTGTTTATATATGTGTGTTTTTGTGTGCCTTTTGCGAACTTGAAGGCAATTTATTTGTCTAATAAATTTCACGACGTTATGCAGTGCTTTCTTGAACTACTGCTACAAGGAAGGAGGCATAAGACATGTGGGATACACGTGCATCTGCGCCTGGTTCGTTCCTTCGTTTACTTCTCCTATGAGTCTTTTTTTCTTTTTTAGCATTCAGATTATCCGACGAACACCGCTGATCTGCTTCCAAACCACTCTTTACTTACTTAGCTTCAATTGCATTTTTAATAAATTTTGTACCACCACAAGGGCCGTCCGTACATCATCTACGCCACACTTAGATAGTAGATACACATTCGTGCGTGTGTAGAAGCGGCAAGCTCTGCATCAAACGTACAAGGTGTATGATAGTTAGTTTTTGAGTTTCGGACAGACGACATTCGAACGTAGTCTGGGCGCGATAGCAACAACTCGAGACATGGCACTAGAACTGTTTAAACCTCCTAACTTGTCATCGTATCATTGGATAAATTTTTACTCGAATGTATAATATTTATTTTAAATAATACCAAAATTGATTATGACGATATATTGTTGATTTTTTAAAAATCCTGAATTGTTTTTTGAATGCATTTATAAAAAATTCACGAAGCGGTCACAACGGGTCAGTCCTTCATTATGGACATGCAGGTGCTCCAAATGACAAGCAGATCAAAGATGGCGATCTTTGGTGAGTTCGTGATGCATGTGTTGGTCCTTTCTAGATGAGATTGTGTATTCATTTTTTTATTAACTTGAAAATTTAACAATTCATTCCCTTTTTATGAATTAAATCACACTAATTACGTGAATCAATCCACTTTGATTTATACGTTAATGAGCAATCTGATTAGTTTTATTAAATTATACGTATGCAAATAGCAAATAAATATATTGTGGTAATGATAATAGAATGAGCTAAAGTGTTAACATCACTTGAAGTTTATTCGACATGGGAGGCGAGTACTACGGATACGTTGCCGACATTACTTGCACGTTTCCCGTCAATGGAAAGTTTACTGACAAGCAGAAACTTGTGTACGAAGCTGTCCTCAGAGCCAACAGGGAGGTCATGAAGCGTTCGAAACCTGGTCTGTCTGTTTGTCTGTCTGCTTTTGTTGAATATTTTCTAAATTTTATCTTATGTTAAATTAAGTAAAAGTTCTTATTTAAAATTTGAATTCAACAATCGAATGACCCAGGCGTTAAGTGGGTGGACATGCATAGGTTAGCAGAGCGGGTGATATTAGAAGATTTGAAGGCTGGTGGCTTGCTGAAGGGTGACGTTGATGAAATGATGACAGTTCATCTCGGAGCGACATTCATGCCGCATGGGTTGGGCCACCTCATGGGTCTCGACGTGCATGACGTTGGTGGTTACCCCAAAGTTAGTAGCCATCTTCCTTTGTCTGTGTATCTCTATTTTGTACGTAGACTTATTAGTGGATGTTTGTTAAGTTTGAAATAAATTACATCGTTTTGCACCACAGGGAGTAGAAAGAGTGAACGAGCCAGGAATAAAATGTTTGAGAACTGCCAGGATCTTGCAGGAAAGGATGGTCCTCACTATTGAACCTGGATGTTATTTCATCGATCACGTATGTTCATTCTTCTTTACCTTACTTCTGGACTGTTTCTTAGTTATTTATTTTTTGCATTCATCTTCTTTATGTTAATGCATAATGGTTCACAAGAAAGCTGTTGAATATACAAACCATGAACGATTTTCTAAATTTTTTATTCAATTTAATGTCCGTTATATGCTAATTATGTAAAAACCATGAATTATTTTTCATTATAAATAATTAACAAGGTTCTAGATGCGGCCTTGAATGACCCTGCTCAATCGAAATATCTCGTGGCAGATCGGATCAATGAATTTCGAGGCTTTGGAGGAGTTAGTTCATGTTTTTATTTTTAGTTTATTCGTGAAATTTACTACTACACCGTTAAATGTGTTACAAGTTTTTTTTATTATCCTTTTTTTAAACTGTTTCACAAATATAAATGAATTTTTAAAATGTAACACCAAACACAAAATTTTTTGTTGATATAACAATAAAATAATGTAAATGTTTTATATTTTAAACTTCAAAAAGGTGAGGATAGAAGACAACGTCGTAGTGATGAAGGATGGAGTTGAACTGATAACTAACGTTCCAAGAACTGTGGAAGAGATTGAATCCTTCATGGAACAGCAGAAATTACGTTGCCATGGGAAAGCATGCCATTTTTGAAAACTTTCAAATCTAACTTTCAACTACCAAATCGTTCATACTCAACTTTTTATCTATCTTATTTTAACATAACGATAACAATAATGTATTTAAAACTCTGCGACTTTGTATTTTATTTGGTCATTTTTATTTTTGAGTTTGTGTAATTTAAATATGATTTGCTATGCAAGAAAACTTGTGTAAAATATTTGTATTTTTTGCAAAAATGTGAATAAAAGTTGTGACTGCAAAATTCTGGATAATCGATTAATAAGAACTGTACCAAAAAACGAAGAAGAGAAACTTGAAAAAATTTAGAAGGCCTGACATGAAATAGATGGATGCCAATCTATCTATATGATGACATTACTGAAAGAACTGGAGTTGGAACTTCAAAATCGACGAGAAAAACACCACTCACCCCGTCGATCTTTCAACAGTGAAGATGATAATGATGGATTCATTTAAACAAGAGCGAAACCGAACAGCACACAGGACTGATCTCCAGTTTTATCTGATACAATAATAAAATACATATCGACTTTAGAGCGGCGTGATGGCCTGGTGGTTAAAGTCGCCTGGTTCCATTACGCAGCGACAGGGCTAAATTTGACAAAAAGATTCCACCTATCACTTGTCTTGTGTGTGATGTTTAACACATATTCATTTACGCTGATTGTGTGTTATTGATTCCTCTAAACATTGGGAGAATGTAATAAAATAGGCACATATAATTAGAATAAATATAACGGCCTTCGCTCATTTTTGACGGTCGAACAAGGAGCTTACTTCCGGAGGAAAATTGGAGGGTGATTTTTTATCGCCCAAGTCAAAAGTTACGATTGTATATTTATTAATTTCGAAATATTGCTTTTATTTAAAATTTCAAAATGTTTTAAAAGGTGATACGGCATAAGTTTACATTCCGAACTGCAATGTTAAAATTTGTTTACATTTATGATTGTTTACATCACTATCTCTAATAGAGAGTTACAAAAGTGCCTCCCACTAATATGCATAAAGTTGATTGAGATAAAAATAGAAGAATTTTAAAAACGTTTATATCGTATTTAAATATGTTAACATAGTAATATATTGATTAAAATAACAATATATATATATATATTAAAATTCATTAAAATTACTTTATTGAAATAGTTCTCGTGGTTGTTCTCGTGGTTGTTTTAATAAGGTTACATTGAAAGGTATGCCGACATCGTTGAGTAATATCATCTGCCTCCGATGCGACATCTCCATCATAGTAACAACACGAAACTTATAGAATGAACAATTTTATTATACTTCATTTTATCATTTCTTCTATTTTCAATTAATTTTCAATATTATTTTTTCAGGACAACCTAACTTAACCCTGCCCCTAACCCTGACACATATACACACATCAACGTTACACACATATACATTATACACATTATTTTACTAAATTATACGTGCAAATTATAATATACGTACAGATAACGTGTAATATACGTATAAATTATAATAAAATAAAACATATAATAAAAATATTCAAATAAAAACATAAAAGGCAAAAGCGCATGCATCTATTTTAATCTCAGTGCACTTTTCGAATTTCAGTAGGAGGAGCTTATTTTACTCTCTATTAGAGATAGCGAATGTAAACAGACGTTGTAGTTCGGAATGTAAACTCATGCCGGTGATACTAGATGCTGTTTTAGGATAGATATTGCTGTATGACGGTTAAGTATCTTTTTGCATTTCAAATAAAAAAAATTTTTTGTGAACCACCAACAACACTTAACTCATTAACTGTAACAACACTAAACGACGACTAATTAGTATTTAAATTACTAAATTCTAATAATTAAACTAAAATTAATCTCTACTGATTCTAATTACTAATTGAAATAAATAACAGATAACACCAACGAACATTAACAGATTAGACTACTAGAAACTACCAACCACTACACTACTACATACTACTACTACACTAATAACTAAACTAACAGCACTTCTTCCTAAGATCTTAATTAAACTCTATTGCTTGATTGGTTTTAAAATTTTTATTTACAATGCTTAGGTCTGGGAATAAAAAATATACTAAATTAAATAAATATATTAAACAACTTACCAATCAATTTTATAAAATAAACAATTTTGTAATTTGTTCAATTCAAGCTTCAAACTCCCCAAGCTAACTTGCAATTTAATTAAAATTTATTAATTATGAGTGATTCGAACTAAATTTTTTTTCATTTAATGTTTTACAAAATATTCCTCATTCTTAAATTGTAGTACATGTTGTTATTAAATTTATTAAAGATAATGTGTGATTCCAGTGATTCATCAATCCATAACTTGTTAGATCATGATCATTCAGTTTTAAAGAATCCCCATCACCATAACCAATGAGGTTTGTAAAAATTGTACTTTTAATTTATTATATTTTATGCACTTAGAATGTTGTGTTATTAATTATTATCATTAATTTATTAAATGCTGTGCATACCTATGGCAAGTAAATAAAATAATTAAGCATAGAAATAGCCACAATCAAATTAATTCATATAGGCACGAGTATAATTTGGATAATAATAATTAAAAATATCGGTATCATTGAAAATGGATAAAGTCAAAAATAAATCATAAATTGCTAAAAATAATAGTTCCAGTAAGATTTTGCCTTACACCTACATCTTTTTTTCATTCTTATATTATAATAAATGTTTGTTATCAAATATATCAAGGATTGATTTCTCAATCCATGACTAGATTGAATGTCATGGTCCTACAGTTCCAGAGGATCCCCATCACCATTAGTCAATAAGGTTTGTAGAAATTACCCCAGGCATACCATCAATGTTTTGTAGCCACCTTTTAATGTAGTGTTAATAAAATGACATTGAGAATAGTTATTTAAAACAATCTTATTAAAATTATTGAACAGGTATGACAAGATTACTTTCTTAATGTCCTAGTGTGAGGAAGATGTAAGCCATTTGTCCAAAGATAATCATATGCCTTATGCCCATATAAATGCAGTGTCAATGCGAATGATTTTTGATCAGAGTCATATGTTCTAATTTTTTTAAACTTTTCCAGAAATTTTTCTGTTAATTTATTTGTTACATTAAATACTTGATTATGCCAATTTAGTTAACTTGTTAAGCATTAATATAAAATTGACTCTACTTGTAATGGTGTTTGGTACGATGATGATGATCCCAGTCCTAAGCAGGGTTTATTATTCACAATGTCATTATGCCCTTTCTAAGTTTTAATAAAATACATGGATAATATTGTTGAATGCATTTTATATTTTTTGTATAGATAAGAATGTTGCAATGTACAATGATGATGTGAATTGCTTCCTTGTGTAACTGATGACATATAATATAACTAACTTGAAAACATGGGAATGCTTTCTTCAGCATTACCTTCCTTTCTTCATCATAACCCTTATAATCTTTATTACAGAAATGGTCACTGCATATTCTTGCATTTTTTGATGGAAGCCATTTGAAATCATTTATTTCCTGTCTGATGCACTTAATCCAATCGTTTTGCATTTTAACATTTTGAGGAAATCTGAAATTTTATAAACTGTTACAGAAACTTGTGCATTTCTTAAGTATTGCTTTTATTAATAATAAAATGGTAATCCATTATAGCATTATAAATTATAATAGTCTATAAAATGAAAAATATATGTAATTGTAAAACAAAATAGTTCTATTCAATGAGTATAAGGATATTGTTACATTTATTTTAGTGTGAAGTTAATTTGAAAATAAACCTGTGAAAAGATGCATCAGAAATTTTCACATTTCTATTTATTATTAATGCAATTTTTAATGCAACAGGTAGGCATGTTTGTGTATAGCTACGAAAATGAAAATTTACTTAAAAACTAAATTATTGTATCTGACACGAAAATTAGTACAGAAACAAAAACGAAAGAATAAATGACAATATAAAAATTTAAACATTGATTGAAAGAGTTTATTCTAATTATATGGTATGGGCAACTCGTTGCGAAATCGTTAGAGAAAATGGTGTCAACAGTAGTTATTTTACTGCATGGTAGTTAATCAGCCGGTATGAAGGTTATATTCAATTCCTATCAAATAAATTTGACAAAATATCATACACAGGCAGAACTAAATAAAGAAATAGATAGATATATATACACGTAGTTATAATAAATTTATAATGTTGTATTTACACATTCAAATTGTACAATTATGCTATGGTGTAGTCTCAAATTATTTTGAATTCTCTCAGAAAGTTTTAAACGTTTTACTACACTATATATACTAGTTATTTTTATCAACAATTTAAAAATTTTATCAATAATTAAAAAAAAATTTCAAATTGATTTCATTGCGATATCGATAATGATTTTTGTTACCTGACTGATTAAAAAGCATCAAAGAAAGTTAAAATAGGATGGAGAATTTGTTATATTGGGATATTCGTTTAAAAAGCGAGCAAAATTTTAATATAAAAGCCCTTATAAATCTATGCATATTGGCTCAGCTTGGCTTGGCTCGGCTTGGAATCGGATGTTAAGCAAGGTGTGGTCTTAAACTATTTTGAATTCTCCCCGAAAAATTTGAACTGCGTGCTTACATATATAGCAATGATTACTGTTGTTTTTATATCGAATTTATAAAGTATATAAACATAGCGAGCAAAATTTTAACATAAAAGCGCTTATAAATCTATGCATATTGGCTCAGCTTGGCTTGGCTCGGCTTGGAATCGGATGTCAAGCAAGGTGTGGTCTCAAACTTTTTTGAATTCTCCCCGAAAAATTTGAACTGCGTGCGTACATATATAGTAATGGCTACTGTTGTTTTTTATAATGAATTTATAAAATATATAAATATAGCGAGCAAAATATTAACATAAAAGCGCTTATAAATCTATGCATATTGGCTCAGCTTGGCTTGGCTCGGCTTGGAATCGGATGCTAAGCAAGGTGTGGTCTTAAACTATTTTGAATTCTCCCCGAAAAATTTGAACTGCGTGCTTACATATATAGCACTGATTACTGTTGCTTTTATAATGAATTTTTATTATATATATATATAATGACTGGAATCCATGTATACAAATAATTAAATTATATTATATTAGATTATATGTTTATATGAAAAGCAATATAGCAGATTCAACCAGCCAACCAGAAAGTTTCAAAGGCGTTCGTTCGATGACTTCAATTTAGTACGGTTAGCATTGTGGTTAAGACTGTATAATAGTGCAGTATATACATTAAACAAGTTTTTTACTGATACGAATGATTGAAATGATGAGAATGTATGGTTAAAACGAGTATAAATAGAGGAGCTGAGACAACATGAAAATCAGATCAGCTTGAGGCAGTCTGTCTGATCTCATTTATTTTATTTTCAAAATTTTTTTATTTTTATTTATTTTATTATATAGAGTTATATAGAGTTATATAGTGTTATATAGTGTTATAAAGAGTTATATAAAGTTTGCATGATTGTAGGTGGTTTGAATGTTTGTAAATGGTATTTTTTTAATTTTAGGTGGGTTCTTTAACGGTTGCTCATACATACATACATACATCATGTTTGTTTGTGTGGTAGTATTTTATGTTCTGTTTTACTCCTTTTTCTCTTTCTTCATGAGTCTTGAGTTAAGTTAATGAAGCATAGGTAGGTGAGGTAAAATTTAATTTATTATATAGGTAGGCTAGGGCATAAGGTAATTTAGTTACATAGGTAGGTTAGGGACTCCTATTCTTTTACTCTACTTGGTGGTGTGATTTTTGTTTTGTTTCACATCATACATTCAGCAGGTACGCGGTGGTTCCTGGTTTTAGTGGGATTTTTATTGATTGAATGTGGTAGTATGCATGGTTATATAGAGTTATATAGAGTTATATAGAGTTATATAGAGTTATATAGAGTTATATAGAGTTATATAGAGTTATATAGAGTTATATAGAGTTATATAGAGTTATATAGAGTTATATAGAGTTATATAGAGTTATATAGAGTTATATAGAGTTATATAGAGTTATATAGAGTTATATAGAGTTATATAGAGTTATATAGAGTTATATAGAGTTATATAGAGTTATATAGAGTTATATAGAGTTATATAGAGTTATATAGAGTTATATAGAGTTATATAGAGTTATATAGAGTTATATAGAGTTATATAGAGTTATATAGAGTTATATAGAGTTATATAGAGTTATATAGAGTTATATAGAGTTATATA